TATACATAATGGAATTTTATGCAGCCATGAAGAAGAATGAAATGTTATCATTTGCTGGTAAATGGATGGAATTGGAGAACATCATTCTGAGTGAGGTTAGCCTGGCCCAAAAGACCAAAAATCATATGTTCTCCCTCATATGTGGACATTAGATCAAGGGCAAACACAACAAGGGGATTGAACTTTGATCACAAGATAAAAGTGAGAGCATACAAGGGAGATAATGAGGATAGGTAAGACACCTAAAAAATTAGCTAGCATTTGTTGCCCTCAACGCAGAGAAACTAAAGCAGATACTTTAAAGCAACTGAGGCCAATAGAAGGGGATCAGGAACTAGAGAAAAGGTTAGATCAAAAAGAATTAACCTAGAAGGTAACACACATGCACAAGAAATTAATGTGAGTCAACTCCCTGTATAGCTATCCTATGTTAACTAGCAAAAACCCTTGTTCCTTCCTATTACTGCTTATATTCTCTCTTCAATAAAATTAGAGATAAGGGCAAAATAGTTTCTGCTGGGTATTGAGGGGGTGGGGAGGAGAGGGAAGGGCCAGGGTGGGTGGTAAGGGATGAGGTGGGGGAGGGGGAAGAAATGACCCAAGCATTGTATGCACATATGAATAATAAAAAACAAAACAAAACAAAAAACCCTAATTATCATATGTAACCCAACATGTAATAGCATGAATGAATCTTGGAAACATAGAGGAAGAAGCTACACACAAGACAGGAGTATGAATACAGTTATATGATAATGGGCAAAACTAATTTGTGATGAAACAAATCAGAATAGTGAGTTGCCTGGGAAAGACTGGTAGTATGACTAGGAAGGGGCAAATGGATCTTTCAGGGACAATAAAAAGCTGTATGCTTTGGTCTAAATTCACTGAAGTAGGCCAAGTGCAATGTCGCGCGCCTATGGTCCCAACTACTTGGAAGGTAGAGGTCAGGAGGATCAAGGTTGGAGGCCAGTATGGGCAAGAAGTTAGTAAGACTGCATCTCAATCAGTAAGTTGGGCAGTGGTGACACATGCCTGTGATCCCAGCTACCCAGGTCTGAGGCTAGCCAGAGGCAAAAAGAGACTATCTGAGAGAAAAGGGCTGTGGGACTCAAGTGGTGGAACACCTGCCTAGCAAGTGCAAAGTTCTGAGTTCAAACCCTAGTACTGCCACAAAAAAATTTTAAAAATTAAAAGTAAGTTAATTAATTAAACTAAACAGATAAAATCTGTATACATTATTAAATATAAATTATACCTCAGTAAAGAAATTTAAAATTAGAATATTTTATATTTTTTAAAAGTCACATAAAAAAAATTGGTTCCCTAGCTCCAATAATCCTTGACAGTGAACAGGTTAGTACCTGTTCACTTTGTAGAGCAGAATCTTCAGGGAGTCTACTGAGTGCAATGTGTGGGCCAAAGTTCATATTTACAAAAGAGTTTGAAGTAGGAGAAAAAAAAGAGATAGAAACATGACAAACAGATACCACCACAATAACTTAAAGCCCCTTATAAAAATGTCACCACCTACCACCAAAACAAAACCAACAGCTCAAACCATCACTTCTGCCTTCCTCACTACTTTGTAACTTTTTAGAGCACATTAAATTTCTTATGAAGAAACAAATACAAGTGAGTGCAGGGGCAGATCACAAATTACTTATATACATGTTACACACTGTACTTCGTTATATGGATATAGCCTACCCCCCCAAACCCACTTCCTTAAATGAACACCTTAACAAGCAACGGAGAGACAGGGCTGGGGTGGGAGAACAAGAGGTATCATGGACAGGAATTCAGAGCCAGTGTTCTGTCCAAACAAGGATTAACCCGCCTCATTAAGCAATCTCAAGAGCATGGGGCGTGGCTCCATGGTAGAGTGTTTGCTTAGCCTGTGCAAGGCCCCGATCCTGGGTTCAATCCCTAGTACCTCTAAATAAGTAAATGAATAAATAAATAAATAAATAAATAATCTCAAGTCCAACTTGTCTGCTGTCAGAGGAGATGAGAAAAATGCTTTTCCACGACAGTGACAATAAAAATGATACTTGCTAGAGATCGTGAAACAGAACAAAACAAAACAAAACAAAACAAAAATATCAAATACTTAAGCTGCACAAGACTTGCCTATACATAAAACTATAAACTGTTATTGAAAGAAATTAAAGAAGACATACTTAACTGTGGGAAAAATATAAAGTATTCATATTATAAGACTCATTGAATCAAAATACCAACCAGCTCTGTGTGTTTGTGTTTATATATGTGTGTGTTGTGTGTAACTTGACAAACTGAAGTTAAATGTATGTGCAAATGCATGGATCAAGAATAGCTAACATGCCTCAACAGATTAAAAATCCTATAAAATTTAATGTTCTAATAACAGTACTTGTAATAAGCACAAAGGTTAAGATGGATTATAGTTCTGCAAGTGTAATATTGGTGCAAGGATAAATAAACAAGTTAGAGAAAGAGATGGGAGCCTAGAAAAAATGTCATGCAGATAGGTACTTGACTTGTGAAAAAGGGGTACTGCAGGGTATTAGGAAAAGAAAGATCTTCTCAACACTACTCTATGGACAACTAGATATCCATGTTAACAAAGAAATCTGATTGCCCACATCATTCCACATTACCAAAGATCTAAATGTGAATGGAAAAGAATAAGCCTTTTATTAGGCGATACTGTAGGAGAACATATTCATGACTTTAGAGTGCAAATACAGACAAATAGGACAAAAGTGTAGCCATCATTAAAAAAAAAGGTAATTCTTTTGGTGGTACTGGAGTTTGAACTCAGGGTCTTGCACTTGCTAGGTAGGTGCTCTAACAATTAAGCCAAATTCCTAGCCCTTTTCTACTTTAGTTATTTTTCAGATAGGTTATCATGGTTTTGCCTGGGTCCAGTTTCAGATTGTAAGCCTCTTGCCTACAGCATCTGGTGTAGCTGGGATCACAGGCACACGCCAGCATGCCCAGCTTATTAATTGAGATGGGGTATCAGTAATTTTTTTCCTGGACTGGTCTTGAAACATAGTGCTCTCAATCTCTGCCTCCTGAGTAACTGGGATTATAGGTGTGAGCCTCCATGCCTGGAAAAATCTGGTAATTCTGACTATATATTAAGACTCCTTGCCAGTTAAAAGATACCATTAGAAGAATGAAGAGCATGTGACAGAATGGAAGAAGATAAATGTGATATATGTATCTGATAAAGAAGTCATAGCTGATGTATGTTAAGAATACCTATAAATGAATTTTGAAAATATAACAATAGAAAAAGGGCAGAGAAGGACTTCAAAAAAGATATGCAAGGGCTAGAGGTAGAGCACCTGCCTAGCAAGCGTTAGGCCCCGAGTTCAGACCTCAGCACCACACACACACAAAAAGATATTCAAATAGCCAATATACATATGAAAAAAATTTCAACTTTATAAGCAATCAGAAAAATGCAAATTAAAAACATGCTAATAAACATCTGCCAACATGGCCAAAAGTAAAGACTGACAATGTCCTGTGTGGATAAAGATGTGGAGCAACATAAACACATTACTCACATGATGGAGTTGCACAAACTGGTACAACCACTTTGAAAAATAGTTGGCACAGGTACTAAAGTGGGAAATATGTACTAACTCCACTCCTAGAGGATTCATGGCCATGTGCCCAGGGGCCACACACGAGAATGTGCATTGCAATATTACTGCAGATAGCCTTCAGACAGAACCAATCCAAATGTCCAATCATATTCTGGATAAATAAATGGTGGCCTAATCATATAATAAAATTCCATATAGCTATACAGAAATGAAAGTGAATTGGCTTTCACAACACAACACAGATGAATGTCACATGTCATATGAACAAAAGAGCCAGACACAAAGGAACACATTCTCTATGATTTCCTTTGCATAAAGCTCAAAAGCAGGCAAAACTAAAATATGATGTTTAAGGATATATACTTAGCTGATAAAAACAAAGAAAACAAAGAACAATCCCCAAAGAAGGCAAGATGTGGCTACCTTTGTGTGTGTGTGATTAGGAAGGTGCAAATAGGAAGCTGGTTTTGGCTACATGGGCTGCTGAGAATTATTCACAAAACTGTAGCTGTATATCCTTTTCTTTATGTGTGCTATGTTGCCATGAAAATGGATTTTAAAATGCAGGGCTATAAACCTGGAGGAAACAACCTTCCTTCCCCCAAAGTTTTCTAGTTTCAGCAAAAATCAACACTGAATCTAATCTCAAGTTAAGTTTTCCACCCCTTTGTTCTGACAAATCCTGGGGTGTAGGACAACCCCCAAGCAGCCATTTCTTCTCTCACTTGTCCATTAGCTGACAGCCAGTTATACTATTTCTTTCTTTCTTTGTATTTCTTCTTCTTGTTGTTTTTTAGTTGAGCCCCTGTGACTAAGTTCTAAGATGTGAGGGCAGAAATGAAGGTTTAAAGCACAGGATCTAGGACACAGGGAATGAAATGAGCCCACCCGTCCCTCTGAGGTTTAAGCAGCGAGGCCTTTCCCACCATAGTTGCCAGGAGTGCTCTGCTGGAAGTTATACTATTTCTTACTAAAGTCAGACCCCGAGTCAGACACTGGCCCATTGCTTTCCTCCTGCTTCAGATTTCACAGAATCCCTCCATGACTTAACTTGGTGACTGGGAGGCATCTACATGCTACTGTACAAGCTGGCACTGATAGCACATTCTCTCTAGATAAACATCCTTCACAAAATCCTCTTTCTTTAATCTCCAACAGCTCAACTTATTTTGATGTGGGAGAAACATTTCAGGAAACAACTCTTTTCCATGTTAAACAAAATAATAACAAATGACAGGGACAAGTGGGTAAGCACAATAATAGTAATAACAAACAGCATTCAGGAAACACAGCTGAGAGAAGAGTCCATGGGGGTTCCACCAGAGAATGCAAGAGAGCCAAGCAAGAGGTGCACAGTATGTCTTGTACTGGATGACTAACAAAAAATATCTCTTACCTGTATGCAAGGTTTGGTTAGTTCCTGTGTGTAGTAACATGGTTTGTTTGTCATCTTTACGGGAAATCCACATACATGAGGCAGTTTAGATTTTAAATCTGAAAGAAAACTTTTCAGCACACCTTCCAAATCTACCCTTGGAAAGAAGTGAATGGGCTGGCTTCTGATGCAACTGAGAGGGTAACTGAACAAGATTAAAGAACAATGTGAACTTTTTTGTTTATAAGAGATAGCAATTCTTATTTTTAAACAGTATTAAAACAAGCCGGGCACAGTGGCTTACACCTGTAATCCTAGCTACTCAGGAGGCTGAGATCAGGATTGAGGTTTAAGGCCAGCAGAGGCAAAAAGTCCATCAGTAAGAACAGGAAGTGGTGGTGTGTGCCTGCCACCTTAGTGATATGAGAAGCATAAGTAGGAAGACTGTGGCTCGGGCTAGCCTAAGCATAAATGTGAGATCATATTTGAAAAATACCCCAAGTATTTCAAGTGGTTTAAGTGTTATAGTGCCTGCTTGGCAAGGCCCAGAGTTCAAACTCTGGTGCTGCCAAAAAAAGTATTAAAATAACTATGTTAAAAAAACACATATAATGTGGGTGCCCGTGGTCACATCTGTAATCCTAGCTACTTGGGAGGCAGAGATAGGAGGATTGTGGCTTGAGGCCGGCCAAGGCAAATAGTATGTGAGAGCCCCATCTCCAAAATAAAGACAGCAAGATGAACTGGAGGAATGGTCAAGAGGTAGAGCATCTGTTTTGCAAGTGCCTGCTTTGTAAATGTGAAGCCCCGAGTTCAAACCCCAGTCCCATAAAAAAAAGACACACATAAACATGTTATGTTGCTTATTCCACACTATCTAGATCTAAAAATCAAGCTTTTTCACTTAGATCTTCATTTTTTCTATTTTTAAATTTTATTAGCAAAAACTAGTAACATGTTTGTGGGGCTCAGTATGATTTGATACAACATAATCAAGGCAATTCACTGTGCCCTTATTATATGGCTTTCTAAGTGGACTGGCAAACTAAGTTATTACAAAAAAAGATTCATAAGGAAGACACTATGGCTCTTATAGATCATAAACATAAATGTCATAGCAACAATGAACAGGTTTTGTCTTGAAAAGCAGTGAAAAATTCAGTACAGAAAAGCAACAATATAAATTATATTCAAACCCTAAAAGCAGTTCTTTGAGGAAAGCAGTTACTTTTTCTGGTAAGTATTCTGAAAACTCTGGAATAATGTGCTAGCATCTAATGAAAGGAACAACCAGAATATGTCAACCGGTTCTACTGTGGAGATCTGGGCTAAGAATACAGAAAAGGAATGCTATCGCTCTTCTTCTTTCATGTCTAAGCTCCAGCTGGTCAGAATACAAAGACTAAGCACTAGGGATAGTGAAATCAGTGCTCATTAAGATTTAAGAGTTCCACCTGAGAACCTATGCATTTTCCATGTGTGGATTTTAAAAAATACTGCTAAGAAAAATATTTTCTTAAATCAATGAAGTGCATGTCAAATCCTCTAAATTTTGACTGTAAAATTAAGTAATCTTCCCCAAATAAACTATTCGTTTCTTTAATCCAACACTTTTAATAATATAAAACATACCACCAGAGGGAGCTCTTAGCTAAGGAGAATCATGATTAATTTTCTATTAGAAAACAAATGTAAATATTTTGTTTATTCCAATTTTTCTTTTGTAGTCTAAATTGCCAAAAAGTGTTTAAGAAAAAAATATTTATTAATCTCATCCTCAAATAAAATAGGGTAAAATTCTAAGCATAACAAAACCACAGCTACAGGTAAGAAGTGCATGTAGGGCAGGAGTAGTGCTGGATGGTGAGGAGAGCAGAGGGCTTCTGCTCCATGCTGCATACTTAAAAGCAACTGAGGCCAATAGGAGAAGGGGACCAGGAACTAGAGAAAAGGTTAGATCAAGAAGAATTAACCTAGAAGGTAACACATATGCACAGGAAATCAATGTGAGTCACCTCCCTGTATAGCTATCCTTATCTCAACCAGCAAAACCCCTTGTTCCTTCCTATTATTGCTTATACTCTCTTCAACAAAATTAGAAATAAGGGCAAAATATTTTCTGCCGGGTATCAAGGGGGTTGGGGGAGAGGGAAGGGGCGGAGTGGGTGGTAAGGGAGGGGGTGAGGGGAGGGGGAAGAAATGACCCAAACATTGTATGCACATATGAATAAAAAAAAAAAAGGATACGTGAAGGGCCTTTCTCTGATCATTTTGAAGTAGATGTTGCAATATATTTTCATATTTCCATAATCTTCTGGAAGTTTATAGCCATACTAAAAATTAAGCACAGAATTTAAATTGTCTTGGGGAAAGCTAATTTTAGGTTAACGTACAAGAAACAAAGTCAAATAACTTGTAATGTGACATATATTTCTGTTCCTACCAGGTCATCCCAATGTGTCTGGAAATCTTCGAATGAATGAAATGGACAGTCAGGAGGCGTGGCATGAACAATATTTGTTATTTGCCCCATTTTCATACTGTGAAAAAGGAGAGTGAGGGAAATATTAGGAGCCAATGCTTAACTATGGTTTGAAAAATTAACTATGTGATTTATAGTGTTTAAAAAGATTTAGCAAAAATCTCACTAGTCATGTATAAACATTTGCTCCTAGTTCCAAACACACATTGTATTAAATTTTTTCTTAATTGATAAGTAAATATTACACAATACTTATCATGTGTGACAAGCTGTTTTAAAATAGGTATACATTTTGGAACAGCTAGATCAAGCTACTTAACATATGCATTCCCTCACATAAGTACATGTTTTGTGTTGAGTACTTAACATCTATCTTTAGTGATTTTCAAGAACACAATATATTGTAAATACCTACAGTCACCATGCTGTATAACAAGCCTCCATAACTTATTCCCCCTAACTGAAACTCTCTATCCTTTGATCACATCTCCTTAACCTACCCCTCACTTCCCCCAACGCCTGGTAACTACCATTCTATTCTGTTTTTAATCAGTTGGACTTTTTATTTTTTTGAATAAATTTTTATTAGGATATATTCATGATACAGAGAGGGTTTCACAGTGACAATTCCGATTAGACTTATATTGTACACAGTTACATTGCCCCCATCATCTCTCCCCCTCAACCTCTCCCCACCCCACTTAAAGCAATGGCAAGAGGTTTTCTAGTTGTTTTGTATAGGTATATGAGGTCAATCTACCATATGCTGTCACCTTAATCTCCTTAGTTCACCCTCCCCCTCCCACTAGTACCCCCCCCCAGGCACACACTGTGCCTATTTTACAGTCCTGGTTTTCATAATTAATATTTGAGTTGGCGCTCAGAGGGGTGTCTCAATGTATGCCCTCTGTGGGTGTGCTTTACTTTGGTCTGTTCAAGCCCTTCAAATACTCTCCCTTACCCCTTTACCATCCACCCCCAGTACTTCAACATTTTTCAATACATATTCTATATCCTCTACCGTCATGTATTGTTGTATGCATTATTACTGATGCTCTATCATTTTCTTTTCCTTTCTATCTTTCCCCGAGTTCCATAGAGTAGTTCCACTGTTACAAACGTTCTACAATTGAGTTTGTATATGATCATGCTTGTTTTGTGTATATGTTTATCTTTGGATCTATTCTCCACATATGAGAAAAAACATATGTCTTTTGTGTTATTGATCCTGGCTAACTTCACTTAATGATTTCCTCCAATTTCATCCATTTACCTCCAAACCCCATGTCATTATTCCCCATGGATGAGTAATACTCCATTGTGTAAAGGTACCACAATTTTGTGATATATTCATCAGTTGTAGGGCATCTGGGTTGTTTCCAGAGTTTGACTACTGTGAATAGTGCTGCAATGAATATCAGTGTACAGGTGTCTCTGCTATATCCTGTCTTATGTTCTTTTGGGTAGATGTCCAGGAGCAGTATCACTGGATCATATGGCAGTTCTATCTCTAGTTTTTTGAGGAATATCCATACTGTTTTCCATAACTGTTGTACTAATTTGTATTCCCACTAGCAGTGTATAAGAGTTCCTGTTTTGGCACAGCCTCACCAGCATTTGTTGTTGTTATTACCCTTGATTCTGGCCATTCTAACTGGGGTGAGATGAAATCTAAATGCTGTTTTGATTTGCATCTCTTTTATAACCTGGGAATGTGAACACTTCTTCAAGTATTTAGTAGCTACTTTGTACCTTTTCCTTTGAGAATTGTGTTGAATTCATGTGCCCATTTCTTCATTGGGTTGTTGATTCTTTGGGGGCTAAGTTTTTTGAGTTCCCTGTAGATTCTGGATGTTAGACCATTGTTGGATGAGGAGCTGGCAAAGATTTTCTCCTATAATATGGGCTGTCTCTTGAGTCTGGTGACTGTTTCTTTTGCTGTGCAGAAGCTCTTTAGTTTAATGCAGTCCCATTTATTCATTGTTTCTCTTAGATGCTGAACCTTTTGAGTTCTGTTTAAGAAGTCGTTCCCTATACCTATCTTTTCTAGTATATTTCCTACTGCTTCTTGCAGTTGTTTCAAAGTTTCAGGCCTTATATTAAGGTCTTTGATCCACTTTTAATTGATTTTGGTACAGGGTGAAAGACAGGGATCTAGTTTCAGACTTTTGCATGTGGATATCCAGTTTTCCCAGCAGCATTTGTTGAAGAGGCCGTCTTTTCTCCAATGTGGTTTTTAGGCTCCTTTGTTGAAGATCAGCTGGCTATAGATGCGTGGGTTTATGTCTGGATCCTGTATTCTGATCCATTGGTCTTTCTGTCTGATTTTGTACCAACACTATGCTGTTTTTATTGTTATAGTTCTGTAGTATAGTTTGAGGTCGGGTATTGTGATGCCTCCAGCATTGGGCTTTTCGCTCAGAATTCCTTTGGCTATTTGAGGTCTTTTGTGTTTCCATATGTACTTCATGATTACTTTTTCTATTTCTGTGCAGAATGTCATTGGAATTTTGATAGGGATTGTGTTGAACATGTACATTGCTTTTGATAATATTGCCATTTTCATAATGTTGATTCTACCAATCCATGAGCATAGAAGTTCTTTCCATCTTCTGATGTCTTCGATTTCTCTCTTCAGTGGTTTATACTTTTCATTGAAAAGGTCTTTGATTTTTTTTTTTAGATTTATTCCAAAGTACTTTATTGTTTTTGAGGCTATTGTAAATAGGATTGTTTCCCTGATTTCTTTCTCAGTCTGTGCGCTGTTGGTATATAGAAAAGCTACTGATTTCTGTATGTTAATTTTGTATCCTGCCACTTTGCTGAAAGAGTTTATGATTTCTAGTAGTATTTTGGTAGAGTTTTTGGGGTGTCTTAGGTATAGGATCATGTCTTCTGCAAATAGGGATAGTTTGACTTCTTCCTTCCCTATTTAAATCCCTTTTATTTATTGCTCTTGTCTTACTGCTTTGACTAGGAATTACAAAACTGTATCAAATAGGAGTGGAGAAAGCAGACAGCCTTGTCTTGTTTCTGACTTTAAGGGGAACGGTTTCAGTTGTTCTCCATTTAGTATGATGTTGGCTCTAGGTTTGTCATATAAAGCCTTTTATGCTGAGGAAAATTCCTTCAATTCCTAGTTTCTTCAGAGCTTTTATCACGAAAGGGTGTTGCATTTTGTCAAAGGCTTTTTCTGCATCTATTGAGAGGATCATGTGGTTTTTGTCCTTGCATTTGTTTATGTACTGTATTACGTTTATGGATTTAAGTATGTTGAGCCATCCTTGTATCCCTGGAATGAAACCAACTTACTCATGGTGTATGATCTTTTTGTTGTGTTGTTGAATTCTGTTTGCCAGTATTTTGTTGAGAACCTTTGCATCTATATTCATTAAAGATAACGGTCTATAATTCTATTTTCTGGTTATGTCTTTATTAGGTTTCGGAATGACTGTAACGCTGGCTTTATAGAATAAGTTTGGTAGTAAAAGTCCTTTAAATATCTTCTGTAGTACTGGCTTGGTGGTTGCAAATTCCTTTAGTTTTTCTTTGTTGTGGAAGGTTTTAATTTCTTCTTCAATTAGAAAGGATAATTTTGCTGGGTAGACTAGTCTGGGTTGACAATTGCTTTTTTTCAAGGCCTGGATTATGTCTTTCCATGACCTTTTTTTGTTTAGAGTTTGAGTTGAGAATTCTGCTGTTATTCTAATGGGTTTGCCTTTATATGTGACCTGTCTTTTCTCTTTTGCAGCTTTCTGAATTCTTCTCTTTGCTTTGATTATGATGTTTCTGGGGGTGTTCCTCTTTTGGTCCTGATGGTTTGGTGTTCTGTAAGCTGCCTTCACCTGGGTGACTCTTTCTTGAGGTTAGGGAAGTTTTCTGCAATTATTCTATTGAATAGGTTGTCATTGACTTTAGTTTGTATCTCCTCTTCCTCTTCTATACCCATGATTCATAGGTTTGGTCTTTTCATGGTGTCCCAAATACCTTGCTTGTTCCATTCATATTGTCTTAGCATTTTTTTAAACAATCTTTTACTATTTGATCTAATTCCTCTACTCTCTTCATTTCCTGATATTTTATTTTCAGCTTGCTCCACTTTGTTTGCCAAACTTTTGGTTGGGATATTGAGTTGTTTATTTTAGATTGATTATTTTTCAGAGTTTCCAATCTTTATTGATTTCCTCTTTCATATCCTGGACAGTCTGCTTAATTTCATTCATCTGTTTGTATTTTCTTTGGGGTCATTTTTTTTTTTTTGCATTCTGTTTGAGATCAAATACTAACTTTTGTATTTTTTCTTTGAGGTAATTAGTTTTACTATTGTTTTTTGTAACTAATTATTTGATAGCTCTTCCTCTATACAGGTGTTCAGATCCTTAGTGGTGGAATTAGCTTTGATGGAGAGCGGTTGTCTTGCTGTTTCATTCTGTGTTGAGATTTACACATGTGGAGTTGGTTTTGGTTATGGTTTTAATCTCTCAAGCCCCTATAGTTGTTGTTTTGAGTTTTTTTCATCCTGGAGCTCTAGCAGTGTTCCTCAGAGAGGGGTATGCTGGAAAATTATCCCTTCCAGGGTTCTTATTGTGGTGCCACTTGCTTCTTTTTTCCCCTCAGTGAGGGGGCTGGAGTTCCCATTCTTTCATGGAGGCACAGTAGCTCTCCTGCAGTCACAGTGGGGGTCACTGGGTCTCTGCACTGTGGGGGGCAGGCCTCCCAGCATCAGCAATGTTGTGGATTGCCACTTGGTGGAGGAGGTGGGATTCCAGTGCTTGGATAGGAGAGATGTGACTCTTCTGCAGGGAGGTGCAGTGTGAAGTGCTGGGCTTCTGTGGCCTTGGAGGAACAGGGCTTCTAGTGCTGCCTGCAGAGTAGCAGGTTTTAGCTTTCCTCCCCTCAGTGGGGAATCTGGTGTTCTTGCTCTTTAATGGGGAAATAAAAGGCTCTCTTGCTGTCAGGGACAGAGGGGAAGTCCCGGGCCTCCACGCTCTGTAGGGAGGGAAGTCTCCTGGTGCCAGCAGATTAGCAAGGCTTGAAGCCTAGGCTTCACTTGGGTGTGTAATGGCAGGCTCCTGGCACTGTGTAGCAAGTTGAGGGTACCCATGGGGTGGCAAGGCCATTGGGCTTGTCTGGTGCCCACCAGGCAGTGGTGACCCTGGGGTCTACTTGCGTTGGGGCATGGGCTTCCAGGAGCTATGGCAGCTGCTGCTGACTTAGGAGGACAGAACCTGCAGGCAGCAGGCATTCCAGGGCCTTATTTTCTGAACAGGCCTCACCGGAGCGCCATTCTGTGGGACTGCTGAATGCTTGGGAGAACCTAGCCAGCAGGCAGTGGAAGTTTGGGGGCCTGTTTTTTTTTTCTGCCTGGGCTGCTGGAAGCTTAGGCCTATAGTGCTGCTGCCATCATAGGAGAACAGAGCCTACAGGTAGTGGGTGTTCCAAGGCCTGATTTCCCACATGGGCCTCAGGGGGTGCAGTTCTATGGGACTGCTGCCCACTCAGGAGAACTGAGCCCAGCAGGCAGCAGGAGTTTTGGGGCCTGATCTCCCACATGGGCTTGTGGAAGCCCAGTCCTGTGGCACTGCTACCAGATTAGGAGAACAAAGCTGCATGCAGCCAGAGTTCCAGGGCTAAGCTCAGTTCTGTGGTGCTGTTGCTCGGGGAACCAAGCCTGCTGGCTTGTGCCTTCTGTCACCTTGTGGAGCAATGGGAGCCATGGGACCTGCTTACACAGGGGTGTTGGCTTCCCTGGTGTTTTAGGGTGTAGGTAGTGGGGTGTGTATTAGGGGAGAGTGTGGAGCTCTGAGTTCTTTTGTGTGCCGGGCAGCAGGGCTTACCCCTGAGTAATGGAGCCTGGAGCTGGGCAGTGACTTCAGGGGCGTGGATCAGGAGTGTTGAGCTGCAGGTTGTTTTTCCCATTCTTCTTGTGGTCAGTTGTTTCTCTTTTTGCACATTTGGAGAGGGTTTTGCTTCTTGCTAGTTATGGAATCCTATGGGTGCCTTTTGAGGTCCTTTGATTTCCTTTTTTGGGGTAGTTGGTAACTGCTAGGGTATAGGAATGTCAACAATCCACCATCTTAATCCCCATCCCAGTTGGACTTTTTAGATTCCACATATGAGATTATGCAGTATTTGTCTTTCTGTCAGGCTTGTTTCATTTACTCTTTGCCCTTCCGCCATGTGGTAATGCAGCAAGAAAGCCCTCACCAGAAAATGAATGTGGATACACTTTGATCTTGGACTTCCCAGCCTCCAGAACTATGAATTAAATTCTTATTATTTATAAAAATACCCAGTTTGGGGCATTCTTAGTATAGCAGCACAGAATGAGATAGGACAAAACCCTTACAAGATATGGTCGACAAATATTTTCATAGGTTATTTCATGTCTCTCTTGACTATTTCCTTTGTTGTGCAGGAGCTCTTTAATTTTGTGTAGTCCTATTTGTCCATTTCACTTGGCAATTTTGTTGAAAATCAATTGATCATAAAAGCATACATTATTTTTTTTCCTGGTCTCTCTGTTCTTTTCCATTTGTCTACATGTTTGTTTTAATGCCAGTTCTATGCTATTCTAATTACTATAGCTTTGTACTATAGTTTGAAGTAAGGGACTGTGATATTTCCCACTTTATTCTCTTTGCTCAAGGTGGCTTTGGCTCCTCATGGTCTTTTGTTGTTTTCTACAAATTTTAAGGTTTCTTTTTTTCCCATTTCTTGTGAAGAATGTAATCAATATTTTGATAGGGATTGAACTGAACAGATAGACTGCTTTGGGTATTATGGACATTTTAACATTACTAATTGTTCCATTTCACAAATGGATTATTTCTCTAAATATCTGTGCATTCTTCAGTTTCTTTCACTGATGTTTTATAGTTCTCAGTATTCAGGTCTTTCACATCCTTGGTTAAATTTACTCTTTTTTTGTATCTGTTATGAATAAGATTGTTTTCTTGATTTCTTTTTCAGATAGTTCATTGTCAGTGTATGTAAATGCTGAATTTTGTACATTGATTTTGCATCCAACAACTTTATTGAACTCATTTATTTATTTTGTGCAGAACTGGGGTTTGAACTCAGGGCCTCAGGCTTGCTGGACAGACACTCTTACCACTTGAGCCACTCCACCAGCCCTTGAATTCATTTATTAGTCATAAGGTTTTTGTGTATGCTCCAGGTTTTTCTATATATAACATAAAATTGTTGGCACACAGGGATAATTTTTCTACTTCCTTTCCAGTTTGGATGCCTTTTCTTTCTTTCTTTTCCCCAATTGCATTGGCTAGGACTCCATATTATGTTGAACAGAAGTGGTCAGAGCTGGCCTTCTTGTCATATTCTTAATCTTAACTTTTCTTCATTGAGAATGACATTAGCTGTGGTTTGCCATATGTGGTCTTTATTTGTATAAAATATTACCAGCTGAAATTGTTAGGAAAAGCTGAGTACAAATAGTGTGCCAGCTATAAACACAAAATAATGACTAACAAAATATTGCACATGAAAGTATGCCTCGGAATTGTTAGACTTTAGGGAAATGTCTGTTACAAGTTGAAGGAATCAGAATTACATCTGTTCCCCATCTACCTCTTCCTTGCTTTAATATTTAAATTGTTATGTACATGCTACTAACCAATTTAAGTCTTGTTTGTATTACTACCTAATAGTTTTTTCCTGATGATAATACAAACTTACAACTCAGCTCATCAAGTTGTAATGAATCATTATTAGGTATAAATTTACAAAATTTTGATAGTTATCATAATGAGAAATCTAGATGTTGTTCTTTAAAACTAGATTTAATAAAAATGTAAATGTACAATAAAATTATTTTAGTAACCTAATAAGAGAAATTTATGGCTTTGTGTGTATGACAATTTTGTTACAGTACCTTTAAAAGTTATAATTCAGCTTTTTAAAATTTATCAAAGTAGCTTATAATTTTGCATGTATCAATGCTAAGGAAGCAAAATAAGAGGAAATTACTATATTTTGAACCTACCCTAGACATTACAAACTGGCATCTCACCTTGGTAAAACATAGCACCAGTTGCTCAAAATGGAATGTCTCTCAATGACAGCATTCTGGTTGGTATGAAAATCCTCTATAATATTCTGAGAAATTTCAAACTCCTTTAGCTTTTAATTGAAATAAGATTTCAATGCATAAGTACTCAAAGGATTTAGCAAAGGAAATAAAAAACATTAAACCTATCTTGAGGGTTGGGGATATAGTTCAGTGGTAGAGTACTTTCCTATCATGTGCAAGACCCTGGGTTCCACCCCTATCTACACACACACAGTGGGTTATAAAATATTTTAAAGATTTTTGAGTTCTAATGAATCATGCATACGTCACTTTATGTGATCTAATCAGTGTTTCAACACAACATGTTTCTCTTCTGTACAGTTTTCCTCTTTATCCTCCAAATCCAAACTTCTATTTTGTACCTATTTTAACCAGTTTTCAGTTTTTTATTACTTTAATTTATAGGAAGTTGAATCCTATCTATAGGAAAGTATTTACATTTTTAAAGAATAGTTTATTAACTCAATTTTTAAACATTTTTAAAGTGGAGAATAGGGAGTTATACCTTGTCTGTGGAGGACAGAAGACAGAGCCAATGCTCCATCCTCCTTTTATAACCCCTTTCCACCCTTCTGGAATACTTTTTCCCTGTTCCTCAGATTCCCTACATATAGGAGATTTCTAGCATGTATGTAGCCAACAAGAGTCTGCCACGTACAGTTCAGTCACCCTGGGCAATCTCTTGAGACACATTATCTCAAGTTAGATACAGAAAGGCCTCAAGTGAGGTGAAAAAATGAAATATTAATGGTTGAAAGAATATTAAGGTTAGAGAGAATGGGTCACAATTCCTCATTCCCTTTTTATTATCACAGCAAACAAATGTTCTAACCTCACTACCTAGTGCCTTTTATACTTTTGGAGGGGGTGGTACTAGGGTTTGAACTCAGAGCTTCACACTTGCAAAGCAGGTGCTATACTGTTTGAGTCACACTTTCAGCCCTGCTTAGTGCTTTTTAAGGAACTACTCAACTTTCATTGCCTGGACAAGTTGTTAACATCTTAATGATGTACTTGCCTAAAACATAGTTCACATTCTGATTTACTTGACTCAGAGCATTAGGGGCCTGAGTCTAGGGCCATCTTCTCTATGTCCAGTGGTTGGTCCTTCTTTGAATTCCTATAGCATTCCTTAAGACTAATGGAAATGAGGGAGCAGAGAAGAAAAACATCAATTTAAGGAGAGGAAGATAAGCTCTGTTGGGGGAGTATCTCAGTTGTAGAGTGCTTGGCAGGTGTAAGACCCTGGGTTCCATCCTCGGTATTACATAAGTTAAGAAAAAAAAGAGCAAGGGCACTCAGAATGAATAAGGACACAGAGTGTCCTGTGCAGCACAAGAGATAAATCTTGTGCTGTGATGTATTGTGCTTATGAGATCAGCTGTCTAAGCTTTGTGATAAAAAGATGGTTAGAGCAGGGTAGCTATGAATGTCAAAAAATAAGTCTGGCTGCAGGCAGATGACTAGATGGAGGAAAAACAGAACCTAAAACAATTTACAAAGGTAGGTATCTGGTTCAGATGTTCACAGTTTATGTGTTTTCAAAAACACCTACTTACACAGCTTGAGTGCATATACTACTAGCTATTTTCAGCACTATTCAGACTCAAGCCAATTGCTATGGAAGTTAGCAAAAGTAGAAGATAGAAAGTGTTATATATAGAAAATAGATGCAAAAAATTCTAACAGAATGCCAAGGGTAGAGTATATTACATTTAGCATGAGCTGAAATTGTTCTTTTAATATTTGGAGATGAAAGAAGAGGCAAGAAGTAGATGTTGAGACAGGGTTAGGTTGTTACATTTTGAATGCCATCTAAAATATTTTTGAGCAAGGAGCAATATGATAAGACCATCATCATCTTCACAGGTCTTTTTCAACATAGATTACTCCAAAGACTAGCAAGTTACCCAACTATTGACCACATATCTCAAGAGAACACTAACCCCTTGTATTTACTCACTTAATAAATATTTTAAAGTATCATATGTGACTAAAACCACATTGATAAGAAGGTACTCAATAAATATTTATTCCTCCTTATAATGTCAACTTAAAGAATATGGAGTCAATTTTCTGGGCGATGTTCAGATCCTAGAGATATTTAATTTGGGGACCTTTGATTTAGGAAGAGAACTCTGTTGACATTGTGAGGAAGAACTAGAGAATAAACCAGAAGGGGAAAGACTAGAAGTAAAGTCTATATGGAGACTAGTTCTGGTTGAGACAAAAGAAGGGGGTCTAAATCAGAGCAGTGGAAATGGAGACAGAGGAGCCAATTACAGAGATCAAGGTAGGCTATTAAAGACAAATTGGATAGAGGAAGGGAAGAAGAGAAAGAGCCAAAGTAGACTATGAAATCTCTAGTAGGTAAGTTACTGGATTTTGATGTCAGAAGCCAAAATAGGAAATATGAAGGAAGAAAAGATTTGGAGTTGGGGAGAATGAAAAACAAATACATTCAGTTTTAGACATAACTGAGTCTAAGTGCCATCGGTATGTTCACGTGAAAGTGTCCAAGAGAAGATACAGAAGTCACAACTACAAAAGAATGCTTTGGGGATATTAATGTGTAGGCTGAAACCACTGGAATGGGTGATCTTGCTAAGGAAGAAAAGAGAGTGTATGATAAGACCTGTGTTAAATGAGCAGAATATTTTCTTTGGGGAAAAAGATTTAGAACAATATACCAAGTATTTAGTAACATACATTTTGATAATAAAACCTTATCATCCTTCGTGTTAAAAATTAAAATCTGATAGTATGTTAGTAATAATAGGTATACTAAGCATATAGCAAATATTATAACTTAAATAAATCAAATATATGGTACCTCAGCAGGTGGCAATCTGATAGTGCAAACTTCTATACTTAGACAAATTTGATTTTCTGTTACGTTGATATCTAATACTGAAAAAAATTAACTGTAAATTTTCTGGAATTATTATTCCATACTATCACATTAAGTAATTTAGTAACACAAATTAACTTAAATAAGTTAGAAACTAAAAACAGATTTTTACACACATACTAAAATTCAAATAATTACCATATAATATTTGGTAGTTTGTAGATAAGACATCTAAAAGAAGTCAAAGGTATAAAACAATATACATATGTCTCTCTCTCTGTGTGTGTGTGTGTGTGTGTGTGTCTGTATGTAGGGAGTAGCTCATAGGATGCAGTTACCATAAGAAAAATAATACATTCTACAGTTTAGAGGAAAACTCAACTAATAATTTATTATAAGTCTGATTATCTATTATTTATTGAAATTGGAGTCTCTCATCTTCTAAAACAAATGGAGAGGTCTCACAACAGGCTTCTCACTTGAGTAGTCTTTTACTAACAAGTTTCCTCAAATGTACTGGTAGATATATTACAGATCTCCCAGAGACTTGAGGCCTTTATGTTTTCATAAATAAAGGTACTTCTGACAAATCAGGATTGTGGGGACCTTGAGAAGGGATATTATCTAAAGAAAGCATTGGGGGCTGATGAGGCACTGGTGATGTTTCTTTATCTAAGAACTGGTTAAAAGGATATGTTTAGTTTGTGAATATTCAAAATGTATACACTTATAATAATTTCTGAGTTTTTTGCCTTCATGTATTACATTTCAACAAAAGTAAGAAAATATTCCAAAATAGGAGTGAGGAATTCTGCTCTTCTAAATTGTTATATTGAATCTCTAACTGTAGTCTCATGCTAGTGTTTGGGTATGAAACTAAATTTAGGTAACAGATGCATTCATCCAGAGCCACAGCAGACTGACTAAAATATTAAACTAGTGTCAGAGAAGCAAAAAGGCTTCAGCTGGACAGTCTACTCAGCTCTAGCAGCTGTGGGTTACAGACCAGTATTTTAGGGCTATTCCTAAATTGAGGGGAAATTTACCATGACTGATTAATAAAGCCCACCGAGCGCTCAGAATCCCCACCTATCTGGTACTTCAGGACTACTGCTCAGGAATCCATCTACTTGTAATGCAACAATGTACATTAGAATGAACTTTAGAGTAAACTGTACATTTTAGATTATTTGTGACTCTTTAGATAATCTTTTTTTAAGGAGGAAAAAGAATATTCTAATAAAAGTAAAGCTTTGACTTACACTAGTACTAATAAAACTTTTTATGATAGGATTCTGGGAACTATATATTACAAATACTTGCAGAGTTAAACTTCTTCACCATCATAATTTTCTTCAAGTGGAGAAAATTTTAAAAAAGCTTTTTTTCCTAATTAAGATATGTGAATTTTTCTCAAATAGGTAAAAATTTTGAATGAGAAGTAATTTCCCAGGTAAAATTCTAATTACAATAATATAGGATTAGATTTAGTATATGGTAATCATCAATATTATAACAACCCAATGATGTATAACATTGTTTAGCAAATGTAAATTATATAATGCTTTATCTATGGACTTATACATTTTTACTTACCAACAGCACTTTGCTTTCCCATCTGAGAAAGAAAATCTCTTCCTTAAAAAATTTACAGGATATATCATATTATTATACTCAGAAACAATCATGATTGATAAATACAACATTTTGATATGAAATCATTAAAGCTAAGGAAAATACTTTAAAATGAAATTGTTCAAAGGAATATCTCATGACAGCTTTGAGAAAAATATAATCACTTAAAAAGTATCCCTTCAACTAAAAGGACAGAAATGCTTGATTCTTCCCTCAAATATTTATCTTATGCTATAAAATACTTCAAAAACCATCAGACTTGAGCAACAATTCAAAATAGCCTTTTGGTTCCAGTGATACCAACAATTTATTTTCATTTTATCATAATACTTCATAACATTTCTGTTCAAAGTATCAAGTATTATATAATAAAAATTTTAAGCAATATCAGCAGGCCTCTGTACATTATCCCAAAGTATGGAGGTGATTTGTGACCCTTATATTGTTGTGGGCTTAATGCTTAGTTGAAGCTGTTCTAAAAACTATTCCCTAAAAATACCTTGAAATTAAAAAGATGTACATAATAGAAATAATCTAGTTCAGAAAGTTCCAATAATTGACAGACATAAAGTCACCTTGTACCAAGAGATGGCCTGTTTTGTTCCAGGCTGGAGCAAGTCTAGCCATGAGTGAATATGAAAGGCAGTTTTGAAGAATTGCAGGAATTACCCTTTGTGGAGCTTCCATCTAAAAATATTAAAGGGAAAAATATGGGCAAATAAAAAGCAATTGCTATGTCTCTATAAACTCAGAAAATTTCTGCATGTTTAGATTACCACCCCAAAACCTGGGCTATTCTGTATAAAAATTATAGTCATTGATATCACTAATGCTATCTGATTCTACAATTAAAGAAATATTTAAAGATATTCACTTTGAAACAACCACTATTGCCATGCTATATAGCCAAATTCTCACACTTACCCTGGCCCAGGAAGCCTGAACCTTCAACTTTGCACCCTGTTCTTCACAGAGGAGCTCCCAGGTCAGAACAAGCTTGTGGTATTTTTCATTATTATTTACTTTATTTTAACATCAGAAATGGTTAAGCCCTTACGAGAGCATACATATAACCAACAAAGTATCACTATTTGTACAGATTTAATTTTTTAAATAAGAGTTTTCACTTCTGACTATTATGTAATAGGAATAAGATTTGTCTTCCCACTTGAAGCATCTAAAAAACTAGGCAAGTTATATGAAACAATATTCATAAGATATTGGACATTGTGCATCAAAGAGTGATCCTTAAGAGATGAGAAATCAACAAGATGAGCCCAGTGGCTTCCCTAGTGTATTAATTAGAGAGGGTTTCCAGGAATCAGTCAGGGAGGAGGAATCCAGGATAAGGGCAACAATCATGTTGACATCAATCACAGCTCCAGGGCCCAGACCTTGCTGAACAAATCCAATAAGCCACTTGGGTCTATCTTGGAAAGCCAGATGGCTTTCTCCTGAATTTCTGTGTTGACTTTTTTCTTGGCCTGAGGAATTAATCTAGATACAACAGTATTTATCAGCACAGACCCAGCCTTGACTCAGCCTTGCAGCAGTTCTATCATCCATCACCACATCAACTGGTGACCTAAAGATGGTGTCATTTATCTTTTCAGATAAAGTCAGGGACAGATTCTATAACACCTTTTATTGTGCTACTCCCATTTTAGTAAAAACTGTGCCCGGAGTATGTATGACAAATTATCGCTCTAGAAAGTCCTCCCTCCCATACAACTCAAGGTAGTACAGCTCACTTTGTTGAGATCACTGCAGTTTTCTCATACTACTAATAACTTCACAGAAAGACAGACAAATCTGCAATTACAGGTGGAGATTTCAATACCCTCAATAATTGATAAAAGTAAAGAAAATAAGTGAGGATATAGTAGACTTAAGGCTATTAGCAAATGTGGCCCAACTAACATTTACAGAATAATTGACACAATATACATTGTGTATATTGACATAATATATGTATGTATATTGTATATACATATATGTATGTATAATATATATTTGTATGTATATGTATATTGTATTTACATATATGTATGTATATGTATGTATAATATATATTTGTATGTATATGTATATACATACATATATATGATTCATGGGGATAAAGATATGGTCAACCCCACATCTTCATTTTTTTGTCATTGCTAAGATCCAGAAGGTCACTGCCTTATAGAATACAATTTATAATTTCCCCCCATATATTAGCTATATAATTGTGGACAATAGTCCTATCCTCTGGCCTTCATTTTCATCTGTAAAAATGCAAAATTCACGTATTTGAAGATATGTATGGAAAATCAAAATATGCCACATAAAATCCCTGCAATAAAGTATCCAACAAAAAAATCTTGTTGCTCTCCTTCTGTACTAAATGTACACAAAATAACTTTGTGGAAAAATTGTTGGGTTCTTTCATGTGCCTAGCAATAACTTATGAGAAAGATATTCCAATTTTTGTTTGTGACACAGCCAGTATAACAACACCTGGAATTAGTATTCCTTATTTTCTTTTATTTATATGTGCATACAATGTTTGGGTCACTTCTCCCCCCTTCCGCCCGCCCCCTCCCGTATCCCCCCATATTCTTTAAAAAACTTACCTTAGCTCCATATTTTTCAATGTAGGTGTTAAGAGTCCCAGCTTTAAAAAATGGTATCTATAACAAAAATTCACATTTGTAAGAAGGACTTAACATTTAAATCTATAATTAAATAATGTAATAAATAAATAAATAAATATTTAAGCATAGTACAGCAGAGGGCACAGAATCAGGTTATCTTCCTAGCAGCTTCTATGCCTTCAAGTTGTGATAATCACTCTCCCTAAACTAGCAACTGTGGGTACATTCTCAAAGTGAGGAAAACCTCTCTGATCATGACAGAACCCCAGATGCCACATAAAAGAAAGGGCCAATAAATTTCATATGTAATGTTTAATACCTTTCCTAATATACAATAGATTCTTAGCTATGAATAAGGAAAATGGATATAAATGAAAGTTCAAGTTCAAAAGGCCTAAGTGCTCCAAATTATTAATGAAGTAAACACAAATGAAAGAAAAATATTATTTTTAACCTAACAGATGAACAAATATTTAAAGGCTGCTTACATCTAGTGTCCATGAGTGAGTGGTATAACAGACTCTCTCAGATGCCATTTGTAAACTGTAATGCAGTTCAAACTTTTCAGAGAGCAACTTGGCAGTATCTACACTTTAAAATGTGCTACAATCCCACTTATAAAACTCACCACCAGACAAGTGAAAATGACATAATTTCAATGCTGCTTTTTGAAGTGCTATTTCTACTAAAACAAAACTGGTAACTGAGGTGTGCAACAGAAGGAATAAAACAGTTTACTACGCATACCTGTAATGAAACATTTCACAACCTTAAAAACAATGAAGCTATATGTACTAACATGGAAAGATATCCAGGAGACACTGTTATTTTGTTTTTATTTTTACTTTTTGGTGATACTGGGGTTTGAGTTTACACTTATTAGGTAGGTGTTCTACCACCTGAACCACACTCACAGCCCTAGCAATAGGCTGTTAAAGGGGACATAAAAGACAAGTTTCAAAATAGTATGTATAATAGTCCCATTTTCTACTTTAAATACTTTTATAGAATGCAATATCTTTTTAAGAAATCACAAGGCTGGTGGCTCAGACCTGTAATCCTAGCTACTCAAGAGACAGAGATTAGGAGGACCACAGTTCAAAGACAGCCCAGGGAAATAGTACACAAGACCCTATCTCAGAAAAACCCATCACAAAGAGGGCTGATGGAGTGGCTCAAGGTGTAAGCCCTGAGTTCAAGCCCTACTACTACCACCACCAACAACAACAAAAAAAAGATAGCTACTTTCTTCTTAGTATCTTGTTGTTATTGGTAAGATAAGGATACTTAAATTTGCCAGGACTCTAAAAGAACATCCTCCTTATTCTAAAAAGGTGCTCAGATAGAAAAGAACACAAGTTCACCAATAACTTATCTTTCTTAAAAACTATGTTAGATATAAGAAGATAAAAACATGAATATATTTTTAAGACCTAGAAGAAAAATGAAAGAACTGAGCATTCTGGATGCCTTATCAGCTTTGTTAACAAATGGTAATTTTACTGGATTCTGAGCAATTAAAATCTCAGAAAAATAAGATTTCAGAAAGATTTTTTTGTCAAAAATCTCAGGATAACATTATTTTAGGTATTTCATTACCATTCCAATTAACATGCAGCATTGGGAAATAATTTCCAGTTCTAATTTCACTAAGCATGATATTTTAAAATAAAATTTCTAAATTAAAAAAAAAACATTGATATGAGTTCTTTAAAAACAGCTGATTTATGAAATGAGAGAATTCTTCCTGTATATTAAGTGTAACTCTAAAGAATAAACTGTGGTAAGAAGCATTAAGCCTGTGGGATCTTAAAAATTATACTATAACACAGTTTATCCATTAATAAGTACATGTTGGTATTTATGACAGAGAAAACTGAATATTATATTAGAACTGAAAAAATGGATTTTTAAACCTCAGGCATATTAAAGGAAGTCTGCTACTTGTTCAAACTACAACACAGAGTGGTTAATCCTTATAACAATCTTCGGTTTTACCTATGATACTTGAATTATTATTTATCAGTATTGCTCCCAATTGGTAATACTAACCGTCATCATCACCCAAATTTGGTTTAATATTCCAGACACAGGTGCTGTAAGAATGTCTTGATGCAAAAACAGCAATTGCCTGTGGAGAACAAAGGCATTAATTTCAAAGTAGACATGTCTACTGTCTGTGCTTTTACTCTTTTAGAGCATTTAGAAATTTTGCTTAGTTAAAGATCTAAGTTTCTTCTCAGCAAGGATTGTGTTATAGAGCTCTATATCTCTCCCCATACCTCGTATGGTTCCTTGAAAGAGAATTATGAAATTTTACATCCTGGTACCAATCTGAGAACTTGTCCCGCATCTGAGTTTCTTGACCTCTTTGATTTGTGAACCCCAATTCCTCTTTTAAAAGTCAATTTCTGCTCTACGAATCTTTCCTTCCTCCTCCTCACCTTCTCCCATCTCCTCTCCCTGCTCCCTCCTCCTTCTGTTCTCCCTTTTCCTTGTCCTGCTCTTCCTCTTCCTCCTACAGTGGTGGATAGGGGCACTGGTGCCAAGAGTCTAAGGATTCACCAATTAGTGAAGTTATTAATGAAAACTATTAGCTAGATTCTTTTCCTTCAAGACGAAATTCTGCTCAAACCAGGAAGAAGTGAATAGTAGTTTTAGTTAATTTTCAACAGGCAAATGAACTTACAACAAAAATCATCAGAATTCAAATTATTTTCAATAATTTTGTTTCAAAGGCCAAGGAAAAGATGAGGAAACACAGAGATATGGTTGGAAATCGAAAATTCTCAGCATTACTAATCATGAAAGAACAAGTTTAGATGACTATAATACTCATTCTCATGGTACCAGTTGCCTCTAAAAGCAAGGTGGGCCAACCTGTTTCTGGTGGCTTCACATTTGTTGGAACCCAGGAAGCAGGCCCTGCTACCTGTGTAGTAGATACAAAGTCTGCCTTTGTCTGACACATCTAGCTCTCTCTCTGTTCCAAGCCATCAGTTACTGGAAAGGTGATTTAAGACAGCCCTACTTCATGACCAAAGCTATCTTCAATTCAAGGGCAAACAGCAGAAAATCCCACTTTTCTGTAGATTTTAGTATTTTTCAAAGGGGTCACAGGTAAGTCTGCAATAGGTATCATCATATTATACCCAGGCAGGAAGTGTAAAGGATGCACTTAGATGGGAAAGTATGTAATGGGGAGAAAAGTCTTATGAATAGGAGGAAAATGGAGGATAACCCAAGGTGTCTTCCTCATTTACAGCCCCTTGCAATGTTTTTTTGAGAGTGTCTTACTATGTAGCCCAGGCTGGCCAAAACTCCCAATCCTCCTGCCTTAGTCTCCAGAGTGCTGGGATTATAGGCATACCAGCCACATCAGGCTTGACCCTAGTGATTCTATAAGTTTTTATTCTTCTTTAAAAATTAATTTAAAGATATAATCCTGTTGTGATTTCTATGACCCCTTCCTTGAGTACCTCAAATAAATTAAGGAATTAATACATGAATCCATGAATTACCATGGAATTCAGAGTTCAACTGGGCTGTTTTCAATGATTATATTAGGACATTTCAAGATAATTTGTAGGGAAATTCTCTTCAGTGTTTTATTTGCACTTGAAAATTTAGAAATTACACTAATTTGTTTATATTATCTTTAAGGGCCCTGCAAAGAATAGATAGTAACTATTCATTAACTAGTATCTCTTCATTTTTGAGAGCCTGATTTAATTTATGAATGTCTGTAGAGATTTAAAAAATTTCAAAATCACAGAAGTCACAAACATAAAAACTCAACAGTGAGACAATTTGTTTCAAGTATTTTAAGCACCTCTTTAAGTGTAAACCAACATACCTAGTCAAAATTGAATTCCTTTATTTTAAATTATATTCCTTTATTTACACTGAGTAAATATTTTACTTTTGAAGGAAGTACTTCTAAAACAGTTCTTACAGGTTTTAGGAAGTTTAAAAAGCTTAGAAGATGAATTTTTACCTGCACATCTTCATTTGGGTAGTCCTAATCTCAGAATCTGACACCTTGTTATTCAATACTATCCGGACAGCACAGAGTTTATGTAAATCTGGAAGTGTGATGAAAAACAGGGACTGCTGCCTAGAATCACTCATATTCTCCTGTTGACTGTGTGACTTAGCAAACAGTCCTTTAAAAATAACAAAATGAAAAGTTAGTAAAGCACTGGTTTCAATACCAACACATTATATTTGTCATTGTGTTAGAATAAAATAACACAAACAAGTCAGTTAGCAAATTTCAGCGGTTAAATGTCACTACCATTTTACCTTCAAGGTTTTCTAATGATTTCTAGGTTGTTTTGGTACAAGTTTTATTAAGGTGTAGTTCATAAAGAATATAATTCATTCACTTAAAGTGTACAATTCAATTTCCTTACCATATTCATGGAGTTGTGCAATTATTAATGCAATAAATTTTTAGGACATTTTCATCGCCCCAAAGATAATCTAATTTTAAACCTACAGTTTGGTAACACAATTGGATTACTGCACAGAAAATAAAAAACAAGTAGCTTATTAAATGACTAGTCCTCTGTGATTCTACCACACATGTTGATTCACTAAATTCCTCCTACAGTCCCTGGCTATTCTTAAGTTTCATTTGGCTTTCAGGAAGACAAACTCTTCCCTCGGACAAAAATCAAGTTTCCTGCTATTTCGGATCATCTGTAAATCACCTGAAAGTTAAGGGGTGATTACTCATCGCACGTGAAAGAGAAGGGTTACCGATTCGTAAAGCGTTACGTAGCTTCTTTCCCACTGGGTTATGCGGCTCTGAGACGTCGGGGCGCCCGTTACCGTAGTTAAACCTCACGGTGTGTCCTTGAAGACTAGGCCACGTGTCACAGAAGCCCGGACGGCCCATGGTGCGTGACCCACTGCGTCTCAAGCTCTGGATGCTCGTGACGTGACGGGGGCGACCGGCCCCTGGAGTGCAGGACTGTGACGGCAACTGCCCCGTGAGGAGCAGCCACGCTGGCCGGGAGCTGAGCTGCGCCGGCCTTGTCAGACCACGGGACGGTCGCCTCCGTGGTGTCCTCTGGGAAGCCTGGCAGGGCCCCCGGGGCTCCGGCCGCTCCCCTCCACCGCAGGGTCGAAGTTTCTTGCGGCAGACGTTCCTTCGGCGGTGCTGGGGTTTGAACTCAGGGCCCTGCACTTGCTGGGCGGCCTCCGCCGCGTGGCCACGCCCCCAGCCCGTTTGCGCCGCTGTGCTCTGGACGGGGCCGCTTTGGCCCCGCGGCCTCTGACCTTTGCCCCGCCACGCCCCCTCCCACGGACAGCAGGGTGGGCCTCGCCACGGCCTCCCAAGGGCTTCTCTGACCGCGCGCTCAGTGGCAGCAACAGAATCGGTGGCCATAGGTCCCGCGTCTGTCTTTAAACGCATTTGAAAAGCCGAGTCCATAAACTTGCCATAAAACAAAATACTCTTAAAAACTGGAATCCACGAGGCTCAACGGACCCGAAAGCTAGACGTTGTCCTCTGAAGATGGACAGAGCAGTTCCGCCCCGGCGGGGCCGGCGTGCGGCCCGCGCCCCACCTTCTCGGTGCCACCAGAGCGCCCCTGACCGCCCCCCTGGCTCTTCCCTACCTGGACTGCTTCGAAACCCTATTCAGTGAAGTTGGTAGGGGGTTTCTAAAAACTTCGAGATGCTTCCAGGGCCGCCGCTCTCCTCAGCTTCTTCCTCAGCTGCTCAGGGGAGCGAATCCCGGAACGCCCTGTGTTTCTGTCAGGAAACTCGGGCTCCTGTCAGATCCCGCGCTCCCAGCGGGCCTCTCACTCCCAGCGTACCCTGCGCTCCCAGCGGGCCTCTCACTCCCAGAGTACCCTGCGCTCCCAGCGGGCCTCTCACTCCCAGCGTACCCTGCGCTCCCAGCGGGCCTCTCACTCCCAGCGTACCCTGCGCTCCCAGCGGGCCTCTCACTCCCAGCGTACCCTGCGCTCCCAGCGGGCCTCTCACTCCCAGCGGGCCCTGCGCTCCCAGCGGGCCTCTCACTCCCAGCGGGCCTCTCACTCCCAGCATACCCTGCGCTCCCAGCGGGCCTCTCAGTCCCAGCGCACCCTGCGCTCCCATCAGGCCCCGCGCTCCTGAGTATTTGGTGGTTGTGGCAGCAGCTCATGGCAGGCTTCGCCCTCTGACATGGCTTCTATTCTCAGCATTGCCCTCCTGTGCTTTGCTTTCTTCACAGCGCGCCTCAGCCTCTTCTCAGCGCTTTCAGGAGCCATTCCCAGCATGCTCTGCTGTGCCAACATGCCCTACTTGCCCCACGTTCCTGCACACTCAGCCCCATCGGGAATTCCCCCAATTTTTGAGTCCTGGGGCGCTGCATAGGGCGCCCTAGCAATTGCCTGTGAGGCGCTGGGGCCTTCCTGGTGACTCCAGGTGGAGGACAGCTGGATCAGTGGCGCTCAGACCACAGTTGGCCTGAGTGCTGCGTGAGTGTCTGGCCGGTCCTGGGATTCGGAAGGCCTTCAGCGCTGGCTCTGTGACCAGAGGCCTAACAAGGCCCCGAGAGGCGCCTCTCATTCCTTGGCAGCTCTTTCTGAGCGCCACCATGTGCCTTTCAGGGGTTGATGGCAGAGCATGAAGGAGACAAGCCCTTCTGCCCTGGTGGGACCCACGGCCTCAGTCCATGGGGACCGGGCTGGACTACGCGCAGTTAGAGGCGGAACGTAGAGAAAGGCAGGGCGCATGCGCGCCCATAGCGTTAGAAATGCAGTTCCCAAACCGTGCGCAAAGAAACGCGCAGGGTCGCTTGGCAAGGCAAAAGGGAAAGTTTTATTTCTGCGGAAGGGTGCAGCCACAGACCAGAGGCTGGCAGGCCCAACACACTTGAGTGGGAAGTCCACCCAGACTATTCTCCAGACTTGCGATTCCCTGTCCCTCACAGGACAGGTCCACGCTGGGGCTCACAACACTCCTCAGCTAGCTATTGTTTGTAAGGGCAAGGTTTTCCGACGTAGTGACACTTTTACAGCTCATTGAGAGTGATTTCTCAAGGTCCCCTGAAGATAGGGGATGGGGGCTGGCATTTTACTCATTAAGAAGTTTGAGATTAGGGCATTTGGCAGTAAACAGCTCTTTGACTTCAAGAACCTTGCAGGGGCAAGTAACCTCTCACAAAGCATGGATGCAGCAATTCAGGGAGGTTAGCTGGCATCTACACATTCACTGCTTTGACAGAAAAGACCTAACTTTAGTTGATTCTCACACTCTCCCACAGGCCCAGGAGACGGGGCCCAACAGGGACACGCAGGTCTTCAACTTTCTTGATGTCAGACAAGATGCTCTTTGTGCCCACACTGCATGTGCACCTCCTTCAAGGGGCTGGTCCATGCTTGTCTGGGTTTCCGAGGCCAATGGACTTTCTGTCCAAGTGGTGTACATAAATCTCTATCTCATCTTGTTTTGGAGGTATGGGATTTGAACTCAGGGCCTCATGCTCGCTAGGCATGCTCGCTAGGTGCTCTACCACTTGAACTACTCCACCAGCCCAAATTTCTCTTTTTGCCCTTGCTTCAACCTTCTTGAATATACCTCTGGTTTTCTATGGTACATGCATTCCCATTGCGATGTTTTGACATCCCAATAAATATTATTCTTTGGAGATTCTGTTATGTAGGCTAACAGAAGTTGGGAAAAAAACGTAAAAACAAAATAAGGAGCAAAGTCTTAGTAGAGTAGATAGTAATAAGCATCCCAGAGAAAAATACAGCAGGACAGGAGACAATGTTTTGAGTGCAAACATGAAGATGAGAGTTGGTGACCTTGTGAATGCCTAAGGCGGGAAGGTTGCAAGAGAGGGAGTAGGGCACAAAGGCTTGAGTTGGGAAGGTGATCAGTGTGGGAGCAGTAGAGCAGGAAAGTAGCAGCAATATGCAGGGGAAGGAAGAACAATCAGGAGGCAATGCCAATACTTCAGGAGAGAGGTGATGTGAAATAGAGTCCTGGCAGTGGAAGTGATGAGATGAGATGGGATTGTGGATATACTTTAATAATAGACTTAATGGGATTTACATATGGATTGATGGGTTCTAAGAGAAAAAGGAGTCAAGCATAATTCCAACATTTTCATATTATGAACATGGGAGAATGGTTTCCATTCAAAGGGGAAGACTCTTGAGAGGAGCAAGTTTGGGCATGAAGATCAGGAGGAATTCATATCAATTTTTAGCATATTAACATTGAGAAATAAGAAAGAGTAGAACATTGTATGGGGGAAGAATTCTGGGGAAAGGTCTGCATGTAATAGATAATATTTAAAACCTGACCAGATGAAACTTCAGGACAGTGTGCTTAGACAGGAAAGAAATCTCATATTGAATTCTGAGAAACTCCAAGCTCAGGGATATGAAAGGGAAGCTCATGCATGGAATGGCAGGGAATTTTATTCAGAGATTTGATCATATTCAATCTCACATCTTCCTGGCTCCTGGAAGTTAAATTGTGAAAGAATAAGCTTTTGAGCTGGATACAGAGGGTCACACTTGTAATCCTAGCTACTCAGGAGGCAGAGATTGGGAGGATGGTGGTTGAAGGTAAACCCCAGGGCAAAAGGTTTATGAAACCCCATCTCAACCAATAAAAAGGTGGACATGGTGGTATGTGCCTGTCATCCCAACTACATGGGAAGCATAAATAGGAATATCTTGGTCCAGGCTGGCTGGGGCATAACTATTTGAAAAATAAGTAAAGCAACAAGGGCTGAGGATGTGGCAGAGTGTCTGCTTAGCAAGTGCAAGTTTCTGGGTTCAAACTCCAGTACCACCAAAAAAAATGAGACTTTTTATCATGCTTAATGTCTAATGCATTGCAATCATTTACCTCTTTTCGGTAATACAAATTTTAGCAAAGAGGAGTGTTTATTAGATATACTCCTAACTCAGTGAGAAAGTGTTCAAAACTTACATATTGTTTGGTTATTTGTAACCACGGCTATAAGATCATAGTAAATGATTGATTATTACAAGGTTGGTAAGCAAAGTCAGACTCCTATGACACACCTGGTTTACACTAACTGAGCAAGGCACCAACTTCTGGGGTCTTATAAAAAATGTAGTGTAGTAAATTTAACATTTATAGCCCAAAGCTTT